ATCAGTTACTTTTCTTTTTCAGTTTCTGGAACTGTTTCCAAAAGCAGCAAGGGTGCTGCTGAAACCAGTAATCAAAAGATTAGCAAGCCATCCTGTCGACCGGTAGTTTTTAGGCCAAGCATTTGGCTCAGCAAATTGGAAAAGAAAACAGGGCAAGGACCTGCCTGGGTGAGAACCAGTGTGCCCCATTTATTTCACATGAGAAGACACATGAAGGATTGATGCCTGTCTAAGAATATCCACCCAAGAGCCCTCAAATTTGCTTTCCAATATGCTGCTGAGCATGATGCCATTTGGAGGTACATTTGAAACAAGAGAACAAGCTCCCAGGCTGTGTTTTTGCCTCATGTTTCAGAATTAGAAGCCTGGACAGGTGAACAGCCTCCTGCCTGCCTCCACCTCTCCATCTCAGTGAGCTGATGGATGGCGCAAAGAGACAGCTGGGACTGCGGAGCCTTCATGGGGCCCCCCACCTGTGCTGCAATCATATGCAAAATGTCAGAGGCCCCCAATGAGCGTCAAGCTGTACCTTCCGTGGCAAGCATCCCAATGGCCCTTCACAGCTGAGGGCAGCAGGAGGCTGTACTTCCTGTGGCCTTACATAGTACCCAGGGCTGAGAATGGCTAAGACAGACATGAAATTCCCTGTATCATTGGGCCTTGCCAAGCTCCTCCTATGCTAATTTCTCCCACACCCTCCACCTCCAGCACCTCCTCCTCTCTCTCAATACCTTTCTCTCATTCTCAAATCTTCTGGACTTTGATTTATTAACAACTTTCTCTATTATTAAAAAATAGATTAAAAATGATCAAACTATCTAAAGAGGCATTGTCCAATATGGTAGCCACTAGCCGCATGTGATGATTTACATTTAAATTAATTAAAATTAAATAAAGTTAAAGATCCAGTTCCCCGGTCACTATAGCCACAAGTCAAGTGTTCGATGGCCACATGTGGCTAATGGCTATCACACCGGACAGTGCAGATATAGAGCATGTCCATTATCACAGAGAGTTCTATTGGATAGCTCTGGTCTAAAGGATATAAAGGAAATGTCTCCCTCTTTCTTCTGTCCCCAGTCCCCCTCCCAGAGGCGACCCCGCTGCCAGTCTCCTTTGTATCCTTGCAGAGATTTTTTCATATGCCTAAACAAGTGTGTGTGGATGCAAATCTCTTTTGTTAAAACAAATGAGAAAAGACCCTAAACACTATTTGGCTCCAGCTTTCTTCACTTAATGAAACTTAGAGATCACAATATAAGTGTACAAATAGTGCTTCATTCTTTTGAGTGGCCTCATAACAATGCACTGTCACCAGCACAACCATCCTCACCCCACCCTCTGTGTGCCAGACTCCCTTCCCTCACACTTTCATCCTACCCCGAGGCTCCATGTCCTCCAACACTTTTCTGACTCTTCCCCTCGCCTCTTGCCCTAATACAAACCTGGTTGTTCCCTGAGGAAGCCACCTTCCTGATCTTTGAAGTGGAGGCAGGGTTTTCACCCTCATCCACATTCTCAAAGGCTGCCTTCCTCGTGGTGAATCCCAAAGGAGTTCTTGGGCTTGCTCCCTCAACAGGCCCAGTCACCCTCAGACTAAACCCACTATACCTCCTTGTCATTACCTCCAACCTCCTGGCCCCTCTCCTTCATTCACTGATGACAACAGCACCTGCTTCACTGCCCTCATCTCCTCCCTGAATTCTGCAAACATTCCCTCAACTCCAGGTGGAGCATCCAGCCAACACCTGGCCTCACACATGTCCCTGACCATTTGTCCTCACCCTACCTCGGCCACCCACTCCCACCCTAAATCCACACCAACAAATGAACCCCCTGTGAAATCTTGGTTTTTAGCATCCCACTCTTAGGTTAGTGCCCACACCAACAACGGCCAGCCTAAGTAAGCAAGACTTCTAATCCATGATGACCATTCATTAACCATGCCATTGTCATTATGCTACGTGAAATAAGCCAGTCACAAAAGGACAAATACTGTATGATTCCACTTATATGAGGCACTCAGAGTAGTCAAATTCATAGAAAAAAAGTAGAACAGTGGTTGCCAAACCCCTGGGGGGGGGGGGGATGGCGAGTGGTTTAATGAGTATAGAGTTTCAGTTTTGCAAGATGACAAAGTTCTAGAGATCTGTTCACAACAATATGAATATATTTAACACTAATGAATTATTCACTTAAATTGTTTAAGATGGTAAATTTAACGTTGTATATTTTTTACCACAATAAGAAAAAACAAAACAATTAAGGCTCCACTCTGTGGTGGTGCTGAAGGCATGCTCCCTTCTGAGCATCAAGCACCCCATCGCATCCACAGTCGGCATCCACAGTCATCGGGTGGCAAAGCTGGGAAAGGTTTCCCTCGTCTTGGCATTAGCAAGTCCAAGCTCAAGATTCTTTCTGAAGCTTAGAGTCAACATAGGAAAAATTAAAGGAATTAACTATGGACCAGTTGGGTATTTCCCTGTTCTCTTGAATATTATGCTCCAGCAACTAACTGAAAACCAATGGTTTTTCTAGCTCTGCCTCTCATAATTCATTCACGCTCATTAATACGCAGTTTCTCAGCTGGCAGTGATTTCATGAATTTTTAATTTACATGGGATGAGCGAGAGATTAAAAGTTTAAACTAAAGCTAACAATAGAGAGGATTGTGAGCGTCGTTTTAATCCCTAGATTAAGAATCTCCAAATGAATTCATTGGCATCATCATGTGAACCATCATCTGGGAATTATCAAAGCAACTCCTGGGTGAGTTTTTGCCTTTTGGGTATATTAATAGAGATACACATTTTTTTTTTAACAGTTCCTGTTTTGGGATCATTAAAAACAGTGAAACCAAAGACATTTCCTAACATCAATCTTAATCTTGGAAAAACTCCAAGCCACCTGATAAATGCTCACAGAGATCCCAACACTACAGAAAATCCACAATAATTTGTAGACTTGTGACTAATACATAAGAAACTCATTTCAGCATAAAGGAAAACAGATAAAAAAGCAAATTAGAAGAGAGAAGTGGAGAAATACTGAACTCAATTTCTTCTGGAAATGCAAAGCAAATTCTGGATTATTAATTCTAAAATAAAAACAGGCAGAAGGAAGAGCTTTCTCTTGAGAATGAGGCCCAACAGAAATACAATATAAGCCACAAATGTAAATTTCTAAAAGCTACATTAAAAATGTAAACAGAAGCAAGGAAAATTAATTTTCATAGGTTATTTAATCCAATATACTCAAAATATTCTTATATTGACCTGTAATCAATATTTTTAAAAATATTAATAAAGTGTTTACATTCTTTTTTCTTATAAGTCTTTGGAATGTAGCGTGTATTTCACACTTACAACACCTCTTAGTTTGCACCAGCCACGTGGAAGTGCTAAAATAGCCCCTAGCGGCCACCATATTTGATAGCACAACTACAGAACCAAAGAATATGTGTTCTTCTGACAGGACAGGACTGGCTCTTGAAATCTGAGCATATTGCCAGATTGCACTTTCTAGATTGTTCTCACTGTACTCCTCAAATAAAAGCCAGCCACAGCTTGGGTGGATGCATTAGGCTGCTCTTACAGCTAGACCAGTGTTAATTCAACTTTGATCATTATGGTGCCATCATTTGAAATTTTACAAAATTAGTTTACTACTATTGTTTTCTTAAATTTTTTCAACCATAAATTGACTTTTAAAAAAATTAACCTTATCCTAAACAATATCAGGCTGTGATATCACAAATTTGATATTTTAATTATATTTGTTAAAAGAGCCAATGCACATTAAAATAAATATTTAACACTTAGAAGTTTTTGTGCTCTACCTAAAGCCAACAACAAATTAAATTAAAATTTATTCTCTTTTGTAAATCAGTTAACGGTGTCATCTTTCAAAAGCTTCCCATTTAGCACATGCAATCTCGGATATATTTCTATCTGAGTCCTCTGGCGCCCAATATTTGTATCCCAACATTTGTATGTTTGAGTATGACATAGCATCCCCATCAAGAGTACCTTCTGTCTGGGCACCACAAACCACAGCAAGCGGGCATTTACTCATTTGCATTCAACTGTCCAAAAGCTGCAGAGGTGGGGTAAAACTCTTGCCCTAATGACAAGTGGTGGCTCAGTCCCAGGGGAGCCCCCTTAATAACTAATAATGATGGCAGCTGAGGTTTACTGAGCTACATGCCAAACACTGTTCTAAGTTAATATATATTTAATACATATATATGTATACACTGTTCTAAGTTAATATATATGACATATTATACTATGTTATATAGTGTGTATATATAATATACATACCTCCTCCTATGAAGGAGGTAATATTGTTTTCCTGCTTTTCCAGATAAGAAAACAAAACATAGAACGGTTAGTAGCTTCCATGGTCACAGAGCTAACAAGTGCTGGAGTTGAGATTCAAAGCCAAGAAATCTGACCTCTGAAACCTGTGCTGTTATCACCCAGAGGATTACAAATGGAATAAAGAGATAGAAGTTGGAAAAGACACATGATTTATGGTCACAAACATAAATCCCTCAAAGACAAAATTATCACCCATATGATGTGGAGACTGGGGCAAGCAATATCCTCTACTACAGAGAGGGATCGAAGACAAGCGGAATAATTTAGAATGCCCTCCAGATGTCTTCTGTAAATTACAGTGGAAAACTCATCCTTGTCAGAAAGAAAGAAACAAACATGAAAATTCAAGGGAATAAAGATTTCAATAACACAAAGAGAAAGAGGATGGAAGGATGGATAGATTGATGGCTAGATGGACAGATGGGTAGAAAGACAAGTGAGCTCACTTGTATGAGCATTCACTCTAGACTTGAGAAGAGAACAAGGAGAATTACAATTTGGTGACCTTATTCTCCTCACTGAGACCAAAGCTGCAGGGTGAGCTGTGCTGACAGCCTGATCATGTGGCCTTCATTTGCAAGGGTTCTGCAGTCTGGAGGAAGATAAAGATCCACTTACATGTATTCCCTATGGGCAGAGTGTACAGCGGCCGCATTGCTGTAACGCCACAGGACAATCGCCGATGACAGGACGTCGAGGACGGCATCAAACTAGGAGAAGGAGACAGGACATTAGTGGCTTTCCAGAGTTAACAGGGCACGACTGTGAAGACACAAGGCAACTGTTCGGTGACTCGGAACATCTGAGGAGGGACCTCAGAGCAAGGAGGCTTCACGTCACTATGATGCAGATCATTCATCATCCTCACAGTGGAACCTGGGAATCTGGAGCCTGGGGCACCCAACGTCCCAGCCTGGTGGCAGTGCCACGGCCCCTCCTCGTACCTCACTCTGCTCCCACAGCCTGAGAAACCACACTCTGTGGTATGGTGGGCTCTGCTCCTGGGGCCCCTGGATCCCAGCATTGTATAGATATTGGGGGTCAGGGGCTGGAATTACACTGTTCTGACACACGTGAACTTGGTTTCATCATGGCAGGCAAGATAATTTCCTGTACATTCCAAGAAAAGATTTGGGGTGAGGATTCTGTTTTTCTGGCTCCCAATGGGACTGTTCTACTTGGGGCTCAGGGTTGAGGGTGGGGTCACCTGGGGGCTCTGGGAAGTCTGCCAACACTGTGAAATTATATACAGAATTCAATGCTTTTGTTTAAATAATGAGTGAATGTGTGAGGGCGACAAAAGAGAGAGAGAGAAAGAAGGAGGGGAGGAGAGAAAAGAGGAGTGAGTGAGAGTGAGTGTGTATGTGTGTGTCCATTTTTCTGGAGAGACAGTCCACACCTTTCAGAAGATTCTGAAAGGAATCTGCTGCCCCCAAAACATTAAGTTCTCACAACAAAGGGAAGAAGTGGGTTTGGGAAGAGGAACGAATACCCTCAGGTACAGGAAACCCTGACGCTACACAGGGGGGATGTTTAAAGGAGCTCTCCGTATGAGTCACTGCACCCCAGCGCACTTTTCATTTGGAAAATTGCAAGCAGTAGCGCTCTCTTGAAGGGACGTCGGGCAACTTTACTCAAGTTTTCAACATGCTGAGTCTGTAAAACACCTGAGACCCGTTTTCTCTCAGCAGCTCCCATCAGGACGCAGGCTCGGAAGCCAGTCACCCCTAATCGGGTACAGAATGACCAATCCTTGCGCCAGCAGCCCCTACCTTCACTCCCAAGGCCGCTACCAGCACCAGCAGATGCTTCACTCCAGTGTGTGCTCGTTTTCAAACCCAGTACTCTGAGGGGGAAAAGAGGGCTAAACCTCTAAAAGCTTCTCTTAACTATCTGCGGAAAATGTGGTCGCCTCATCTGTTCTTGAGCATTATACAGTGTCGTTGCAGTTTACTTCTATTAAATTGTAAGTTTCGATAGAAGCTATTTTTCCATAAAAGGTCTGTTTGTCATGCTGAGCTCTCATCTGCTAACCACCCTCTTAATCAGAGGCCAGGAAGAGATTCACGGGCTCAGGAAAAACGTGCAAAACTCCATAAAAGTACATTTCAGGTTACTTACTGCAAACCCAAAAGCAGAGGCGCTGTACCTCATAACGGAGACAGCTAAAAAGAAAGAAAATAGTATTCAGAATATTTTAAGACCTCATGGAAATTTTCTCATTTGTGAGTATATTAATATACTTGATATGGCCTTTTAAACATCAATGGGAAAGTTCCAAGAGAATAAAATTAAAAATTAACTGTACTTGTAAAATCTGAGAACCAAAACAGATAAAGAGGGAAGTGAAAAGATTCCAGATTCCACCTATAGCAACTTCCCATCCCAGTGTGTTCAGAAGCACCAAAGGACCAGCTTCAGAATGAAAATGCTTAAGCAGTTGTCAATCAAATGGCTGCCGAGACTTTGAGAAGTTAGCAACTGGGAATAGAGAAACTGCATTAAACTTCCATAATGAAAGTGTAACCATCCACACTGTTCCCATAATAAGGTAATTAGTGCTGGTATCAACCTGCACATGCCGTCACTAACACACAGTTGAAAAGAATCTCTTGCCCATCAGAGCTTAAAATCCAGCGTAGACCTCAATTAGACTGTTTAGAAAAACAATAACAAATGATCTTAAGCAATGGATGTCTACAAATGTAGATATAACAATTATAGTGAAAATATTGATCCATATTCAAAAATCGATCTACCTCTTTTGAGGCAAGTCAATTGAGCCGAACTTTTGCCTAATTCTGTGATCTGTTCTGTGCCAAAGCAATGCACCGCTTCAAAGATTATTCTCAGTTTGACTTAATAGAGGCAGATCTCCACATAAAAGCCATATGGAACAAGCAAAAGTCCACCCTCCAACAAAGAATGAAACCTACCCAATGGGTCAGCTTTGCTTTGCTTTGCTTGGCACCCAATTGTTCCAAGCACAAATGTTGCAAGCACTCACTGATGAGTAAGAGAGGTGTGGAGTGAGGCAGGGAGGTCAATATCCATTTGGACTCCCACTCAGCTCAACACAAGTCCCTTCTCTGGGACCCACTCTCTGTCCTATCCACAAGGTCCAGGAATGGCCCTGGACAGCCATGTTGTCTTTGTACCCCTGCACCTAGCCATAAGAGGGTCATCTGAGCCACCGTGAATCAAGCATATTTCATTTTCTAGAAATTAGGAATTGAGACCGAGAGGGACTCTAGTTGGTCAATTATATTGTTGGAACTGAAACTTGTAAACAGTCAGGCTAGGGTTGGCCACTGCTTGCTATAAAGACTGAGGAGCAGAGAGACAAGCAGGTGGTAAACACTGGTTCCTGAAGTTTCCACTCCCTTCCTGAGACAGCCACATGCCAATCCTCAGGCTGTGCGAGGCAAATGCAATCCATTAAATTCCTGACCTTCTTTGTTTTTGACCAGCGCTGCTCCAGGTATCCCTGCTGTTGCTCTTCCTGGCATAAGGAGAAGGACAGAGCCAGCTGTGTACAGTGACCAACTGCAGCTTTCATGGGTGACACAGCAGTGCAAAGGGGCACCAGGCCTTCCCGAAGACGTTGGCATGTGCCAAAAAGCCAGCAGGTCCCTCGAGAGGTCGCTATAGGACACTGAGCCTGGCTTGCAGTAAGTGATCAGTAACTGTTACTCAGACTTAACATTTCACAGAAACAAATCGAAATGAGTATCTTTACAACCTGTTTTTAGACTATTTCAGCGGTGTGCTTTTTGCGGGTTACTTCTTTATCAGCAGTGGAAACCTTTTTAACTCCTAACATCTTTCCCAGATGCTCAATATATACAACCAATAAAAAGCTGCCCGCCTGGAGCTCCTGCTCTGCTCTGCCTGCATGGCTGGCCCAGGCACCACGGGACAGAGGGCACAGCTGGAAAAGCCCTCCACTCGCCATCACAGAAGCCCACCCGCCTTCCAAGCAGTAACCCATTACTTTAAAAAGTTTTAATCTAGATATTTGGTAATACCAGACGTTTATACAGTGAGCTATGGATTTCAAAGAGGTGGACGCCCACTTGATTATACTGAGAAACACAAGGAATCTTGTCTCAGAGATTCTGGAATCCGACAAAGGAGATGGTCACAGAATAGTGGGAGTCAATGTCCGTGATTTCCAACACTCTCAGAATTATCCTGGAAAGTTCTGCTTGTGTGAGGGAGTTAAGCCTGCCCAGTGGATGAATAACTTAGAGCACAAGTGGAATACTAAATTGTTCTGTCCCCCATGCACTAAGCAGAAGGTGAGCAAGAGGGCTCCAGGTTAACCCAGAGCCCCGCAAGAGGGAGGGATTCACACAAATCATTTCCTTATAAATTGGCTCCATCTAATTTCCTTGATGAGATGAAAAGGGAGAAAATACCAAAAATTGCGTGGGGAATCTAGGTACACTGAAGGGCCCTCCACACGGCCTTGGCTCTGGCAGCTTCCCTTTGCGACAACTCCCCGCTTCTCACGATGAAATAACAGCAAATAGTCATTAGCACAAGACTCGAATGGAAGAGGTCAGTAGCCCTTTTAGGAATTTCTGAAGAGTGTCAAATAATAACTTTATTTTCTGAGCTGAATGTGCCACCTCCTAATTCTGGGCTGAGAATGGACTCAAAAGAAAGGGTGAGAGGGGTTTAGACAGTTCCCCCCCCCCCCCCCGCCCCCCGCACCCCATCCCATGGGAAAAGCAAACTGTGGGGTTTTCACTGGGATGTTTCCAACTTCCCTCACAAGAAGAAAGGGTTCACTTGGAGACCAGCAGGCCGGGGCCAGGATGACCCACCACGGCAAAGGTTACAAGGTAGGTGGCCCTGGAGCCCCCACATGTACTTGGCTGAGGGTAGCTGAAAGCCACCATAGGTCCAACAGTCCAGCATTGCCTTTAAGGCAGGTGCAGATTCAACAGCGGACAACAGACAAGGGCCCTTCCGACCTCAGACAATTATGCTGCCAACTGGCAAGGTCCCTGAGACAGGCAGTTGGACAGCCAGGAAGCGGAGCTCTCCTATGAAGGCTGCTCTAGGTCAAGGCAGGGGTCACAGAGCTGAAGGTAATGAAATCACCTCAGCTGTCAGCACGCGGCGTGGGGCCTGTTTAACAAACACCACAGCTGCTCTGGAATGGAGCGCCCGACTGTCAAAAGGCTCCAGATTCATCAGGATAGCTGTGCTATCAGAATCCCGTAGAGAAATTTTCAAGAATGTTTCTGCTCCTCACGTTTAGAACTTGTCTCCACTGCTCATAACTTAAACGTGCACTCAGGGAGCCCATGGCCACCAAAAGCCAATGAGGCATGCAATTACAGGCCATCTGAGCCCCATTCTCCAGGGAACTGAGGCCTTGGTTTCCTATCTTTTACTCCCCCATGGTGAGAGAGGAGGTAGCCTGCCCTCTGATTAGGCTGGCCTTACACACCCAAAAATGCATACTTAGGATACATCTGGACTCCTCTCCCTTTCTATGCTGTGTTTTCCTTTTTTGTTTTACTAAGACACAGAGTCCTTAAAATGTTCATAAGTAAAATGAAGATCTGTAGTTCAGGGCCTACCCAGCATCCATTCCCCATTTGGGGAAAGAGCACCCTAATTCTCCTCTGGGGAATCTTACTCCCACCACCACCCTCACACTATATGGTTTGAGTGGGATGAATCAAATCATTAAACCCACTCTAGTATAGCCTCGTCTCGTGGCCAAAGTTAGTGATTCAAAGATGGCACAATTCGATGTGAGCCAATGAGAACATGCCTCGAGTTTTTGCTAAAAATATTGGGCAGGGGACGCCCTTCCAAGAGGGGATTGTAGAGTTGGTAGCATAAAAATAGGAGCAACAGGTAGCAATTTTGCCCTAAATGGGGAGAGGTTGCCTCAGAATGAAGCCAACAGAGAGGAAAGCCAATATTAAAGAGTAAAGATATAAATCAGACCTCTGATGACACAGACGGAACCTCTGGAATCAGTCCTACCTGAAGGCTAGCCCTCTGTTTTTCAAATATGTCAGCCAATAATTTTCTTTAATTTGCTTAAGCCAGTTTGAGTTGAGGTTGTATCACTTGCAGCCAATATGTCTTAACACAATATACCCTGACCCAGCAATCCCATGACCAAGAATCTCTTTTAACACCTAAAAAATGAAAAAACACTTTATATACAGAAGGTTCATAGTAGGTTTATGCCATTTATAATAACGACACACTGGATGCAATGTAAATATCCAGCAGTAGGATGATGAGTAAAGTACGGTCCGTTAAAAAAACAAGCTAGATGTAGCTATTTAAAAGTATTTACAAAGAGTGCTGTTGGTTAATGCTTATATTAGCATATTAGTCAGAATAATGATATTGATAATAAACGTAAGTGGCATGTTTCATGCCATCAGTCCTGGGTGTCATGGGAAAGGATGGGTCTGGGTCAGGAGGCATTCTGGCTGCTATAGGCGCAAACTTAGTGGGGAGGTCAGACGAGGCTTCACTGAAGAGGTGACATTTGAGCAAAGCCTTAGAGGAGAAGAGGGAGTAAGCCATGCAGTCACCCAGAGGAAGAACCTTAGTGCAAAGGTCTTAAGGAGGAACGCCTGGCATGGGAGAGGCCATTTTGTCTGAAGCAAAAGGGAACAAGAGGAAAGTTACGTGAGATAATAGATTTATTGTTTGAACAAAAAATTAGGTAGAAATGGGCAAGATATAGGACGATGTATGTGATATAACTAGCTTTACAGAACAACTATGTTTAAAAAATGCACCGAAGGGCCAGCCCCACTGGCCCAGTGGTTAAGTTCAGTGCACTCCACTTCAGTGACCCAGGTTCAATTCCTGGGCACAGACCTACACCACTCTGTTAGTGGCCATGCTGTGCTAGCAGCCCATACACTAAAAAACAGAGGAAGTTTGGCATAGATGTTAGCTCAGGGCAAATCTTCCTCAGCAAAAAAAAAAAAAGAGGAGGCGGCCAGGCCTGTGAACTAGTGGTTAAGTTTGGCACGTTCCACTTTGAAGGCCCAGGTTGGGTTCATGGATGCAGATCTACACTAGTCGCCAGCAGGCATTCTGTGGCAGTGACCCACAAACAAAATAAAGGAAGACTGGCACAGATGTTAGCTCAGGGTAAATCTTCCTCAGC